CCGACGCGCCGCTTCTCTGGCCATGCTGAGGCTGCGTCCCACATACAGCAACTGGAAGGATGTGCAACTATGATGTACAACTATCTACTGGGGCTTTGGGGGAAAAAATAAATAAATAAAATTATAAAAAAAAAAAAAAGACCTCTTCTTTTCTATTTTTTCCTTTTCCTCTTCTCCTAGCACTCTCAAGCTACTTCCTTAGAGCTGCTGGTCCCTGGTAAGACTGAATGCTTGATCATTATTATTATAAAAACCTAAGCAAATAACACTATTATCAACTGGAGCGTTATCCGACCCACCACACCATGAAGTTGGGTATGCACAGTGGCACTCCATCATCAAGTGGAAGTAGCATACATGAGACCAACTTGAGCAGGTCCTAAAGGCATAAACAAGTTGCATGAGAAGTAGCTCAGACTCACAAAGCACCTTCTGCTACATCGACAACTTCTCCCTCAATTCATACCAATGGCTTTATGGGGAGCTCCCCTATGACCTGCTGACTGAAAAAGAAAAAAATTCAGAATGGTTTCTAGATGGTTACGCATGATCTGATGAAACTATTCAGAGGTGGCCCTGGAAGACGGTGGGGATGAGAACTTCATGCACCGAACTTGAAAGAAGAGAGAACCAGAGGTTTGGATTTACACTGATCACAGGCAGTGGCTAAGAGTCTGTGTGGAAGGTCAAGGACAGTGAAAGAACAGGACAGGAAACCTGCTGGCAGTACCGTCTGGGGAAGCGTATGTGGAAGGACTTCTCCACATAGTCAGAGAAGGTGTCCATATGAACGCTTACCAATGGGGATCTGCCACAGAGGAGGCAGACAATTGCAGGGACAAGATGGTTCTATATGTGAATGTCATTCACCTTCTTTTTGTAGTCTTCCCAGTCCGTGCTCACTTGGCTTACGAACAATGTGGCCATGGTGGCATGGGCTCCATGACATAGGCTTTCTCTCACCCAAGCTGATCTGACTACAGCCACTACTGAGTACCTCACCGCAGAGATCAATACAGCGTCCCTGACATGGCAGCATTCCCCAGAGGGTACAGCCGCCTGGTAACACTGTACCCCTTCCATCGTGGAAGAGACAGCAGTTTCTGCTCACCGCAATAGATTCTTACTCTACATATGGATTTGCCTTCCCTGCCTGTAGTGCTTCTGCTAAAATCACATCTGTGGACTTGTAGAATGCCACATTCCTGTCAGTATCTCACATAGTATCATTTCTGACTAAAAAACTCATTTGACAGGCAAAATAAAAAAGGCAACAGGACAATGCTTACAGAATTCACTGGTCCAGGTACTCCACCATTCTAAACAGCTTGCCCGTGTGGACTGGCCTACTGAAAACTCATCTTTGCTACCGGCTAGGCGATTCTTTGTGGGCCTGGGTGCTGTTTTACAGGTTATGATATATTCCAATATATGAGACTATTTCTCCCATAGGTAGAATATCCAGTTCTAGGAACCAAAGGTAGTGGCTCTTCTCACCATTACCCTTAATAATACTTTAAAAAAATATTTGCTTCTTGTCCCCACAATACTGGCACCTGCTGGTTTAGAGGTTTTCTATTCCCAAAGATGGCTTCTACCAGGGAACACAAAGATTCCACAGAACAGGTAAAAATTATAAAAAGACTTTAAGCTCAAGGAATTCATAGCATCATTATTTTCTTTGTTGTTATAAGTTGCAACAACAAAATTCAACTCACATATTCCAATATCCGAAAAGCATACCACTTATTTGAAGAATATACTGGGATTTAATAGTCATGGTTTTAGCAATTCACCAATAATCCAAAGGTCTACAATATATACTTTAATGTGTCCTGTGGTAATTAGTTTTCCTTCTGAAAAAGTGTCTCCAAATGACAGATAAAACTTTAGTGAATGCAGAAAAGGCATTTAACCTGTCGTATGGTGCACAGGAACACAGAACTTTCTAAAGAAATATGATTCAAGCGAGTATCAGAGTCTGAACATGTGTTTCTATATTTAAGAATTTAGGGATTCCCAAAGGTGTCTAAACGTATTTGTATTTTAAACTATCACTGAGCCCCAGACAACCGTAACTACTTTTTGGAAAAATAATGGAAATTAGCAATTCTAATCCAAGCTACATTTTGCAACGGAAGTGAGGAGACAATTTTTCTTTCATTCTGAACCTATTTTAAAATACATAAAATTAAAATTATAAATACTAATACATTTCTTTTCCTAAACAGATATTTACTTTTTAATTATTATAATGCATAGATATATATATATTTCACTTTAGCTGACTGCCAAACTGGCACTTCAAATACTGAATTCAGCAAATACAAAGGAGTACATGTAGCCAAATATGAAGAAAAGTAGGAATTTAATCAAGGTCCTTGGAGAGGTGAGTGAAGACCACCAAAGCACAATAAACATAAGTGGAAAGGCTCACAGAACTAATTTTTCTAAATGAATAGAAATAAGCATTCTATGGTGGCTTGATTATGAAGTGATGTGATCACTGAGTACTTACTCTGAAAGGCACTAAGTATTAACTAACTAAACCTCACAAATGATCCCATGAGGAGTTATTATTCTTACCCCCATTTTACAAATAAAGAAAGGAAGATGAGAGGTTAGGGTCACACAGTTAGTAAGTGCCAAAGCAAGGATTTGGACCCAGACTGTCCGGCTTGAGTCATTCTCTTATCCACCCTGCAGTACAGACTACATACCAAAGACTGGGACTAGGGTGAGGCAAGTGAGGCACTTACCTTGGGTGCAAAATTTAAGGTGGCACCAAAAAAATCCTCAGTGATCAGATAAATACTTTAATGCAATATTTTTAAAAATTAAAATTAATGCAAAAATTCCATAATGAGCAGAATCTCAAAATTTTAAATGAAGACAGGATCAGAATTACTGATTTTTCTTTTTGCATTAGGTTCCTATGTGGCTTGTCATTGTTACTGGTCCTGTCTTTATTTAAAATTCTGTGCTCGAGGCAAGGGCCTTACTCACCTCATTCTCCTCACCCTAGTCTGGGCCCTGCTATATCCCCAAATAAAACCTGAACCAGATTTTTTCTTTATGCCAAATCTTGAGCTCCAATCAATAACTGGCTAATTTGATCACAGTAGTAATTATCTGAACTACTGATACCATCTTTCTGAAACACTCAAAGCCAAAGAGCATTCTGTATTTGAATGCATATTAATGAATATAATGAATATTGAATATTCAAAGCATTCACACGTTAAGGATGAAAACAGAAATCCATTTTGGCAAAAGAAAATTCTATGCTTAGCCTCAGTCTGCTGCACTATCCTTACCTCAGTGAATAATCACATATGCATTTAACAAATGTTTATTGAGCTCTCACTGTTGGCCCTGTTTAAATTAGGTGCTCTAAGAATAATGGAATGATTAAGTGGAATTTTTATATAGGAAAAGGGGGACCAGAAAAGAATTACTTTTTGGTATATTATCTACTTATGAAGTAATTATGGGGTACATTTTCTCATTTAATCCTCACAATATCCCTCCTTTTTATTTATTTATTTTGTAAGTGTGTGAGCAAGATTAGCCCTGAGCTAACATCTCTTGCCAATCCTCCTCTTTTTGCTGAGGAAGATTGGCCCTGGGCTAACATCCACGCCCATCTTTCTCTACTTTATATGTGGGACGCCTGCCACAGCATGGCCTGATAAGCGGTGCATGGGTCCGAGCCTAGGATCTGAACCTGCGAACCCAGGCAGCCAAAGCAGAGCATGTGAACTTAACTACTATGCCACAGCACCAGCCCGTATCCCTCCTTTTTAGATGGGAAGACTGAGGCTCAGAGGGTTGCATAATTTATCCAAGGTCATCCAGCTAGAAAGTGGCAGAACTAGATCCAAACCCAGATCTGCTGACTAAAAAAAACACTTGCTCTTCTCATACTAAGATAATTCAGATTTCTACAAAGACTTCAAAGCAACCTAGAAAATATTTATAAGTCGTAAAGTGAAAATATAAAATTGCTTACTAGATTAAAACTACATAAAAAAACATTTACATGTGGACAAAGAGTAAAAGGAAATCAGTGGGTAATTGTAGTTGATGCTAACAGTCTCTAAAAATCATACAATACTATAAAAGGTATAGAAAGAAATCAGTTTAAACTGGATAAAACAAATCTAAGTATCACACTTGTATTTTCACTGTAAAATGAACAGAAAAGAATTCTACATATAGTATGCTTGATACAGAAGTTGAAGACTTTCAAGAAAGACTTTAGTTATGATTAATCTGAGCTCCCACATTCTATGAGGTCAATGGCTTGGTTACCATCAATACTCCAAACGACAAAACGCTATCATTAAACATGACCTAGCCAAATGTACAATTAGAACTAAAACTTGAAGTTTATACCTGTAATTTAATGAAAGGTCACAGCATGGTCACTGAATATAAATAAAACAATTACATAGTTTTTTATTTTCTTCACCATATTCAGTGACCATGTACTTTATCCTTTATATTTACGGCTTTCAACTTATTTCCCTATTTAAGAATACCAAATTCTGACTCACATTCACTAATATACAAACTTGGTTGACAGGACATGAATTCTAATAATTTCTTGGAAGTCTTAGGTCTACTAAGTCAACAGAAATGAAACATCCAGGAGATAGTTATCTAAATTTTGAAATATTTTACAACAAAGAATAGTAATTTTACTAAACATTGGACTTAGTCATGATATGCAGTCATTTGGTCTGAGAAACAATAAGAAGTGTTAAACTTCTTAAAAATGCAAGAATGCTAAAAAATAGCAAACTAGCAATAATCCTTGAACAAGGAAAAAGTGTTAAAAATCACTATCTATTTCTCTAATTTCTAAGCTAAGTGGTGCCTAACAATAGGTTAGAAAAACCTACAAAACTACTCCTCGGTTTTGTTAAATGACAATTGGTAGAATGTATTTGCACCTTTAAGAAACAAGCAGCATTCCAAAGGAAATTAGTACTTACTTGATAATCATTTCTCTTAATATTTGGGACATCCATGTTGTGAGTAGAAGGGCAAATATCTTCATATTTTTTGCCCGTGAAAATATCAATTCCAACAAGGTGAACCTAACAGAGAAGGGAGAACAGGAAACCTGTTTAGTCTTTGCCAAGTATATCACTCATTACATACACAAGAGCATAATACCAACCGCTGATTATGACAGATTCTTTCTCGTTCCAAGGTCATCTAATTTTACTTCTTAAAAAAAAATGCAGTGGTCACAGAACTGAGAAGCAATGAACAACTAAACAGTATCACGACATATCAAGACCCAATATCATATGTAGTCCAGTAATTCAATTACAAGAATGCATATGAAAAATGAAGCTAGGTTCCTTACAATTATGTTAGAACAGGTTTTCTCATCTGTAAATTGAATAGATCTTCTAAGTCACTAGGATTCAGGAAAGTTTCAGCTATAATTAATGAAAAATTATTAGGGCCCAGGAAGAAAATGCTACCTTTCAGCATTCGAAGTAATAATTGATCGCCCAGAAAGTGCGGGAAGAAAAAAAAATGTGCTTATTACAAAGTTACAAGTATAGAAATCTCGTGCTTTGTAAAACCTCAACGCAAAGCCAGACCTGGAAGGGCACTTACCTTGGCATGACCGTGCTTTCCAGTTTTGGAAGTTGACATCTCCACTATTTTGCATGGTCGTCCTTTGAGCACCACGAATCCGTTTTTGCGCAGGGCTGAGCACTGCATAGGGTAAGTGCTGGAAGCCCCAGCATCTCCAGAAGTGAAATCAATTTCATCCGCCATGGTGGGCTGGGGAGATGGTAGCTTTTCCAAGGGAACTACGCAAAAAGTTTGTGTTTGCTTTTTAACAACGGGCACGCAGGCGGGGAAACACCTCATTTCGGACAGGTTACGTACCAAGCTATAATTTTTGCATTTATAGAACACCCACCCAAGAATAGTGGGCACTTTCTAACTCCGGCCTCTACAAACTTTTCCTTCCATTGGTGGGGAGGTGGGGAGGGTAGCCGCAGAGGAGCTCGCTGGGGGTGGGGAATAGGCGGGTGCCCTTGGGGCTCACCCGCGCTGGGGACAGCAAATCCTGGCCCCCATCGTCCCACCACAGGAGAAGCCGGCGACCTTCCCGCGCCGCGCCGCGCCGCGCCTCCCGGCCCTCCGCCGCCGCCCTGATCCCCACTGCGGGGGACCCAGCCCAGGCCGCACGTCCCCGCGAAGGATGGGGCTAACAGGACCCGGCCAGCAGCACCTGGCCCTCGGATAACGGGTGCACACTCCGCCCCCCGGCCTGCGGCGCCGTAGCCCCGGCCTCTCAGGCGCCCCCTGTCCGGCCGGCATCCCCGGCCCGGCGCGGCCCCGCACGGGCCTGAGCCCTGGCGGGTCCCGCGCTCGCCTGCGTTCCCCCATCCATCCTTTCTCCTTCTCTCGTTCAGGACTCAGCTCCGGCCGCCTTGCCCGGCTCTTCCTCGCTCCAGTCCCATTAGCTTTTCCCCACGTCCTCACCTTTCAGCAGGGAAAGAGCGCCTTTCCCCTGCGCACCCGCGCCGGTTTCCTACAGCTGCGGAGGCGGCGGCGGTGGCGGCCCCGGCACTTCCCAGAGACGGGGCGGGGCCGCCACACTTTCCACACCCCGGCTTCCCCGCCCTTTCCCGCCCCCACCTCAGCCCCACTTCCGGGATAGGTCCCGGCGCGTCACAGGCACCGCCCTCTAGGGCTACCATTGGCTACGAGGTTCCCGAGGCCCCGCCCAGTCACGTGAAGAGCGCCCTGGCAACCCCACGTGCTGCGGATTAGTGCACTTCCGGCGTGAAGAGCGCTTTCTGGAGTCTGGTTATTGAGGGTAAACTCGTCGGCAAGGAAACTTGCTCCCTCAAAGTTTTAGATTTGTTCCCTTCAGGTCCCAGTCGAAGTGAACGGGAACCAGGCCACAAGGTCCGTGGCCCCTGCCCTCAGGTGCGTGGCAGTTGTCACGTGACTTGTCAAAACTCAAGAGGCGTGCGAATTCAACTGTGTCCCGCGTGGCTGCGCAGGGAACTTTGGGTTCGAACTCCTGGCCCAGCTTGCAGCCTTCTTTGGTGGTCAAACCCCTGCTTGTTCCTCAAGGAAGAGCCCAAGCGCAGTATTTTATTATCCGCCCCCGCACTGCGGGCTCTGCGACGTCCCTAGCCACCCATGATGAGATTCTGGCGGTGACTGCCACTGGGTGCCCCTCCCACCACTTCTCAGGGGTGGGCACTCCTGAGATACAAGCGAACTAAAAAGCAGCAGTGAAATGACCTAACTCACTCTTCTTGACGCCAGAGGCTGTGATGGAGCTGTGGAGGCGAATGGGTGTCTGACTCCTACCGCATTGTCCGGTCCAGAAAGGTGTTCTGCTGAACTCAGCTCTTCTTTCCTCCTGGCATTGGCTTTCTCCAGTCTGAGGTATGTTCATACCTCATTAGAGAGGTTGGGTTGCCCTCCAGATCGACTTGGAGCCAATAGAGGCTTGAATAGGATTAACCACCAAGGTTCTTAAAAGAGATGTGCTCCCCTTTTCACAGTTCCTTTTTACAGCTCACCACATGCTCCTACCTTGGAGAGGTGACCTCCACACCCCAGTTTATGTGGCCCTCTACTTTTGTATTGCTGTCTCGTGGACAGTCCCATTTCTCACATTCCTTTGTGGCTCTACAGTTTACACAGATATTTTGCACGTCTAATTTAACCTTTACAGTAGCAAGTGAACTCCCATAAACTGAGCTCAGCCTAGCTGATAGATATGAAAGAGCCAGATTAGAACCCTGGTTCATGAGTCTGCTCTGCTTTTCCTTACACCACCTAACCTTTCCCTATCTGTTGTTATTAGAATGATTGCTAATATTTAAAGAGTATTTATGTAAGCACGTAGTGCATTAAATGTTCTATGTGAGTTATTCCTTTATTGTCATTGTTACTGTTTTTTTAACCTCAAGTTTATTAAGGTGTAATTTATACAAGGTAAAATTTACCCTTTTTAGTTCTATGACTTTTAAAAAACTTAGGCAGCTATGTAACTACCACTATAATCAAGATATAGAATATTTCCCTCATTCCAAAAGTTTCCTGGTGCCTCTTTGTGGTTAGTCCCCTCCCTCCACACCCAGCCCCTGGACTTTTATCTACATTTTTAGTTGTGTAAAAAGGCAGAGAAAAGTTAAGTAATTTGCCCCAAATCACACAGCTAGCAAGTCAGAGAGCCAATATTGAACTCTAGGCAGTTTGGCTCCACAGTCACTGCTTTAACTACCACTGTATACTGCATTCACATAAGATTTGGATCTGGCTTTGTTTATTCAACAAATACAGTAGATTCTAGTGAAGTTGCTGGGACACTGAATCAGCAAATACTGAACCATTGCTCCTAGTGGAAATACAGAGTTAGGTTCCTTTGAGCCTCTGGTCACAACATTTTCATCAACTGACCACTAATAATCTTGTTTTATGTGCGTTTCTGCTTAAAGACACCTTACTTAATATACATTGATTCGTTAGCACTTAACTCATAGCCAACAGCACTGTAATTCATGTCCAAAGGAAGCTTATCTAACACATGTATCTTCTCTAAAAGGCACATCACAGCCTTACTGTGCTTAGAAATATTAGGCAGTGCTTAAGCACTATGCTTAGGTGACATTTTAAATTGCCAAGTAACCTACAAAAGTCACAAAAATGTGAAAAAGTGGCACTAATAGACTGTGAAAAAAGCCACTTGTTTACAGTTTGACAGCTGAAACAAGAAGGGAGAGCATCACCTTGTTTGACCTCAGCTAGGAAAATGTGTGTTGCATGACTCAAGTCCATAAATGACTGCAAAAACTTCTCGAGTATTGATTTTAGGGTTATAAGTAAATTTAGCTAGTAGGCAAATTCACAAATATGAAATCCATGAAAGATGAGAGTTGACTGTTTTTGTTTTAGTGTCCTTAACACTGGAATTACCATGTTGACCAAGATAGCCCCTTGTTCATTAGGTGCTTGCAGTCTGGTGCAGGATACAATCTAGCAATTTTAACAGATATAGTAAGTGCTACTAAAGAAATAACTACAGAGTGCTGAAAAAAGGAGCTCCTCTTCATCTAGTCTAGGTGTTGTCCAGTTGAAATATAAGGCAAGCCACATGTAATTTTGAGTTTTCTTATAGCCACATAAAAAAGTTAAAAAATATGAAATTAATTTCAATAATATATTTTATTTAACCCAATACATGTGAAATATTATTTCACATGTAACCAATATAAAAATTATTAATAAGATGATTTTACTTTTTTTATAGTAAGCCTTCAAAATCTGGTGTACGGTACACCTCAATCCAGAGTAGCCACGTTTCAAGTGTTTAACAGCTGTGTGTGACTGGTGGCTATCATATTAGACACCACAGGTCTAGAAGATTTTGAGACTGCTTCTCTGGGGATGATATCTTAATTTGACATCTGAAAAATGAGTAGAAGTTAGCAACAAGGAGGGGTTTGGAAAAGACATTTTAGGCAAAGGGATTGGAGGTATAAAGGCCTATAGGTGACAGAATTGTGGCATCATCCTGGACTGCAAATGGTTTAGTGTGATTGGTGCATACTATAAAAGCAGATGGGTGAATTTGGATCTTCTCCCAAGGGCAATAGAGAAAGACTGAGACAATACATTTAAGAAAATGACAAGAAGATATTTTTTATTTAGAAAGACCGTTCTTTTATGATATGGAGATTTTTTTAGGGAGAAAATATTGGCAATAGGAAACCAATTAGGAAGAAATAGTTACATTGGTCAACAAAGGTGGTGACTATAAGAACATAGAGAAAATAGATTCAAGAGAATTATAAGGGCAAATGGAAAGAATATCATAATTAAGTAAATGTTGGGGGTCAAAATGGGAAGGGAGACACAGGGTGTGAAGAATAGGAAAGAGTCAAATTAAGAACTGGGAGGGTGGTGGTACCATTCATTGAGATAGAAAATATAAGAGAAAAAGTAACTTTCTAGGGAAAGTTGAGTTCACTTTGGGCAAATCATGTTTAAGATTCCTAAGGGAGACAGATATATCTTAAATAGAGATAGACATTTGTGAATCATCAGTATATAGATGATGATTAAAGTTAAAGCAAGAGACTGACTTTGGCTTTAAGGAGACACATAGACTGAAAGTAAAGGGATGGAAAAAGATATTCTATGCAAGTGGAAAACAAAAGAAAGCTGGAATAGCCATACTTATTTCAGACAATATAGACTTTAAGACAGAGACTGTAATAGACAAAGAAGTTCATATAATGATATAGGGGTTAATCCAGTAAGAGGATATAATATTTGTAAATAGTTATGCACCCCACATAGGAGCACATAAATATATAAAGCAAATATTAACAGATCTATAGCACTACAGTAATAGTAGAGGACTTTGATACCCTACTTTCAACAATGGATAGATCATCCAGACAGAAAATCAATGAGGAAGCATTGGACTTAAACTATACGTTAGACCAGATGGACTTAACATACATTTACATTCCAACCAACCAACAGCAACAGCAAACACATTCTTCTCAAGCACACATGGAACATTCCCCAGGATAGATCATATGTTAGGCGACAAAAAAGTCTTAATAAATTTAAGAAGATTGAAATCATATCAAGCATCTTTTCTGACCATAATGGTATAAAAATGAGATATCAATTATATGAAGAAAACTGGAAAATTCTCATTATGTGGAGATTAAACAACATGCTATTAAACAGCCAATGGATCAAGAAGAAATCAGAAGAGAAATCAAAAAATATCTTGAGACAAATGCAAATGGAAACACAACATACCCAAACTCATGGGATGCCACAAAAGTAGTTCTTAAAGGGAAATTTACACCAATAAATGCCTACATTAGGAAAAAATAAAGATCTCAAAAAAACAACCTAACTTTACATCTCAAGGAACTAGAAAAATAAGAACAAACTATGCCTAAAGTTAATAGAAGAAAGGAAATAACAAAGATCAGAGTGAAAATAAATGAAATAGAGACTAGAAAGACAATAGAAAAGATCAATAAGACTGAGAGCTGGTTTTTAAAAAAGATAAACAAAATAGACAAACCTTTAGCTAGACCTGCCAAGAAAAAAGAGAAAGGACTCAAATAAAATTATAAATGAAAGGAGAGACATTACAACTGATACCACAGAAATACATAGAATCATAAGAGAGTACTGTGAACAATTATATGCCAACCAATTGGACAACTGAGAGGAAATGAATAAATTCATAGAAACCTACAACCTACCAAGATGGAATCATGAAAAATAGAAAATCTGAACAGACCAGTTACTAGTAAGGAAACTGAATCAGTAATCAAAACCTCCCAACAAAGAAAAGTCCAGGACCAGATGGCTTCACTGGTGAATTCTACCAAACATTTAAGGAAGAATTAATACCAGTCCTTCTCAAACTTTTCCAAAAAGATTGAAGAAGAAGGATCACTTCTTTTTTTTTTTTTTTAAAGGTTCATTTATCTCTATTTATTTTACCGAAATTAGAATTGAAAAAGACTTTGACAAAACGTGGAATTGTAATGTGAAAGTAAGAGTGATGACAACAAACTGTTAATAAAGAATAAACAAG